TGTGTGTGTGTCTCTCTGTCTCTGTGTCTCTGACTGTGTGTGTGTCTCTCTGTCGCTGGTGGTATGTCTCTGTGTCTGTCTCTCTCTGTGTCTTTGTGTGTGTGTGTGTCATTGCGTGTGTGTGCCTCTCTTTTTGTATGTCTCTCTTTCTCTCTCTGTCTCTGTGTGTCTCTGACTGCGTGGCTCTCTGTCTCTGACTGTGTCTCTCTGTATGTCTCTCTGTGTGTCTCTCCCTGTCTGTGCGTCTCTCTGCCTGTATCTGTCTGTGCGTGTATCTATCGATAAGACAGGTAACCTCCTCCTCCCTGCTTAAAGTCTTCACTGTATTATCAACTGAAACGCTTAAAACTACTAAACACTTGAAAAGTGAGATGTATAAATATTTAAACTGAAACATTTACCCTAATCATTCTATATGTTAATGTGTATGTGGAATTATATGTAAACCGTGTAGATCAAAATTTACGAAGCTATGGGATTTAATCAGCAAAACAGAACGGGAATAATATTTGCAGAGTTTAATACGAGGTAGAAAGGATTGGGTTCGATGACTGAGCACATTCTGCAAACCTTTCCTTTTCACTGGGTTGCGATCCACACGGTGTAGCGGCGATTCTCGGCTCTGGCACTTTATCTCCGGCTCAGGCTCTCGGTTCGGACAGTCCTCCAGCCCCGCTCAGTCCCACCAAACTGGGAAGGCAAGGCTGTTCTCACTGCGACACCCACTACTTCACTAACACCCCATCCCACCAGCCATCATCCCAAACACCATCACCCACCACTCCCCACCCTCCAACCCCACCACTCCCCACTACCACCCAGCCCCTAACCCCCGCCCACCATCACCCAGAACCCCCTCCCCCATTACACAGAGAGCCCACTGCCCCATTACACAGACCCCACTGCCCCACGAGACAGGTCTAAACCACCAGACCCCACTGTTCCATTATACAGATCTAGACTACTCATACCACCTCTCCCCCGTTATACAGGTCTAGACCACCCAGACCCCTCTCCTCCATTATACAGGCTGGACCACCAGACACCACTGCCCCATTATACAGCTTTAGACCACCTCGACACTACTGCCCCATTATGCAGGTCTAGACCACGCAGACTGCTCTCCCCATTATATCGATCGAGAAGGTGGCAGTGCAGGTAGATAAGGTAGTACAGGAGGCCTATGGCATGCTTGCCTTCATTGGAAGGGGCATTGAGTGTAAGGATAGACGTTATGCTGCAGCTTTATAGAACTTTAGTTGGGCCACATTTGGAATATTGCATGCAGTTCTGGTTGCCACACTACCAGAAGGATGTGGATGCTTCGGAGAGGGGACAGGAAAGGTTTACCGGGATGTTGCCTGGTAGGGGGATTTTAGCTATGAAGAAACTGTAGGGATTCTAGGAAAAAAAGGTTGGATAGATTGGGTTTGTTTTCACTGGAACACAGATGGTTGAGGGGTGACCTGATAGAAGTTTATAAGATTGTGAATGGTATGGATGGAGTGGAAAGTATGAGGCTTTTTCCCAGTGTGGAGGGGTCAATTATGAGGGGATACAGGTTCAAGGTGTGAGGGGGGATGTTTAAAAGAGATGTATGAGGCATGTTATTTACACAAAGGGTGGTGAGTGTCTGGAATGCACTGCCAGACAAGGGGATGGAAGCAGACATAATAGCACTATTCAGGAAGCACCTGGATGAATGCATGAATAGGTAGGGAATAGAGGGATAGACCCTGTAAATGAAGACAGTTTTAAATGGAAAGGCAAAATGTGTCAACACAGGCTTGAAGGGCCAAAGGGCCTGCTCCTGTGCTGTATTGTTCTTTGCTCTTTGTTAGCTCCATATGCTCCAAGGCATAGATCTGAACTTCCAGACTGTCTCTCCAATTTGACAGGTCTAGTTCCTGCAATTCCACTCCTCATTGTGTAGGTCTACACCCCAGACCCTCTGCCCCATTGACAGCTCTATAACTTTCCCTCTCTATCGTCTGTATTCCAGTCGCCATTTCTCCTATGAGGAAAATCAAAATCCTATCAAACTCTCAGACCCACACAGTTGAAAAACCCAGACTGTCACAGGTCAAACTCCCAGACCCACACGGGCCAAAACCCCACACCTGCACGGGCCAAA